TATATATAAATATATATATATTCACTTTTTGGGGGATTTTCCCCCCACCTTGTTACACTTGTGTGCGGAGTTCAAAAATAACTGTCCTACAAAAAGCTTCTCGTTATGCTATATTATGACCAAATATTGTATTCAATTTTTTGACAAAAACACTGAATCCAAGATATGGTATCCAAGATATCCCAAATCCAAGATATATAGCATAATGAGAGATTTAGAACCAACACACTAAACTGGCTAAAGAAATTTCAGCACAGCGCAAGGATTAAGGATTGACGTTTTGGCTGGTTTTATACCATCTTCTGAAACTAAGTCCTGTCTCCTTCTCTTTCTGCAGGTTTTGTGCTGGTGATCGGTCTGGTGACATTCTACAGGATCGGCCCCTACACTCACCTGTCCTACGCCTGCTATGTTAACATTGCTGCTTGCTTGTTTGCCACACTAGCGGCCGCCATGCTAATCTGGAATATTCTGCATCGCCGTGATGACTGCATGTCTCCGTCGGTCATCGTCATCAGCCGATCTCTGACCACACCCTTCAGGCCGCACCTAGACAATGACTACGTAGAGTCGCCATGCTGACACACAAAGACACATCTCACCTGAGACAAAACACAGGGTGGATATTTAGACGGACGGACACAAATTCACATGGAGAGGATTTCTATCATTTTATGTGAAATTGATCTCCTGGACGGACTTCATGCTTAAGGATGAGGGCAGTGATCCTGTGACCGCAGAAAGTGGTTTCGGACTGAAAGTAAGACTTTTGAAACTCATTAAACAGAAGTAGGACTGTGGATTGCAAAGAATACAACTGACAGATAAAGATCAAGCTGGATCTTGACACGTTTATATTCATAACTGCACTTAAGAGAAAGTAGAAGCACATTCATATGCACATGTATCTGTTATAGTTCTATGAAACATGGAGCTTCAGATTTCAAAAGGAGTCTAGGCATTGAATATTGCTCACAGGTCAATTGAATCTAGTCCTTTACAGGCTGGCATTGAATCTGCACGTTTATACATGTTTTCTGCTAATTGAAGGGAAAAAAATTTCAGATAGATTTTAATTAGGACATTTCCAAATGTCCAATCACATTTTACTTTTATTTTATTTTATTCATTTTTGGGTTTTTTTTTTGTTTTGCATAAAGAAGCCAAGTCTATTTTTAGAAACATTGCAATATTTTGCATTATGACATTACATTTATAACAAATAAGCACATTTGCCCCCAAATTCTCAATATTATGTGTTCAGATGCTTTACTTTTGAGCTTTTTTGTATTTTTTTTTTCATTAAAATAACCATGAATTAAAGCAGTAAAACAAATATACAAAACATAAAACCGTGAATTAATGTAATGAGAACTCTGGGGAAAAAAATTGCTTAATTGCCATAAAAATATGTGTAATTGCTTATTTTTGTTTAAGCAACAAATAATTTATTATTATTATTATTATTATTTTTAATTGAATATGAGAAGGAACAAGATAGAAATCATGGAGAATTTTTCAGTAATGCAAACTGTGGGGAAATTTTGCTTTATTACAAAGAAAATTTGCTTAATTGCTTCATTTTGTTTACGCAAAAATATAATTTTTAATTTTTTGGTTTTATTGTGGAGAGATATATGACACCCAAATATGGTAAAATGTGTTAAACAGAGCTGGGAGTATTATCAAATTAATCCAAAATAATCATTCTATGAATATGTGAAGGCGACAAGACGTAAATCTGGAGTAGGGATGCACGATATTATCGGACTGATATCGGAATCGGCCGATAATGGCTTTAAATGTAAATATCGGCATCGGCCCGATTTTTATCACCTCGTTGCTGGGGAATATAATGTAGCGATCTAGTATCTCTTTTATTTTAGTATTATATTACGCTTTAAAAAGCTTGGTCATGATAGTCGTGATAACAATGCTATTATTATATAATAACAATTAACAATACTATTTTTATATAATAGTACAAAAAGATCATTTTAAATGTGAAAATTTCAATTGGCTTTAAATTCAATAAAAGCCATATGTAGGTAGAATTAGATTTGTTTTATTCTATATTGGGACATTAAATTCACATATATTAATGAAATAAAAAATACAAAATAAAATTAATGCTTTATTTTAAAAGTTTTTTAAAAGTTTTTTTTTCTAAATGCATATATCCCTGAAAATTACTATGATTTACTACAAAAATAAATAAGTAAATAAATAATTTTTTTAAAAATATATTCTTTAAAATATGTTTTATAAATCACTCTAGTGGACAGAAAGTTCCCAACTGAAGAATCAATCATAAATGTAACATTTATGTTGTGTTCCAATTATTTTGACATAGAGAGGATTTTCTTTTTCCCGAAAATGCTTGAAAAGTTGAAAAGTTAATGTCATCGCATTGGACTAAAACTTAGTGACTTTGACTTTTGGCAGGGTATAACATCTTCCCCCCC